CCTTTACTATTTTAAGGTCTCTATCAACTTTATAAAATTGGATTTATGGTCATTTATTTTTTTGTGTGTTTTGCTTGTGTTTGGATATCCAGTTCCTGCTGTATTGGGGTAACTTTACTTTGGATGTGTCATATTGCTCTGGCTTTTGTTGATTTTGTTCTTTCGAGATCCTTTAGCCATGTGGATAGTCTTGGTCCATTGATGTTCCTGTTTTAATAAGTATTGAGAAGTGGTTAACTTCAATGGTCCTGATGTGGTAGGCCTCTGATGGGTATCTTGGTCTGTATGATTGCAGACAAGCAGGTCTGTATGGTAAAAATCCACAGGTCTGTATGCTCAAGATCTGCAGGTCTGATGAGGTTAACAGATAGGTTGAAGGAAAATGGAAGTCCTGAGGGGATAGTAGGCTGTTTCGGGCAGTTAGGACTCAAATGGAGTGACCTTTGCTGAGGTGCACTACAGTGGAGAGGGGGAACTTGTAGAGTCCACCTCCAGTAGAGGGACAGGATATCGCGTACAGGGATGAGGTTGCCTTCCTACAGTCCAAAGCTCTGACCCAGAATTGTTCCTGTCTGAAGGAACTGCAAGGACAAAAATGGAGAAGAGCTTGAGAGAAAGGAGGTCCAGTCACAGGCCCAAATTGGGATTCAGCACAAAAGTGGATTTCAAAACAACCCTCATCAGTAAAAGTTAAAAGATGACTACAGAAGTAGAGAGGCAATCTGTGACTCTAGTAACATTTTTTAAAATATAGTAAAAACCAATGGTACAAATTAGCAAAACAGCATAATTATATTCACTGATTAAAATGCTAAGATTTCCTGGATTTGATGTGAGAGTACACAAAAATTATGAGAAGTTCATAGGTTTCTGACTTGTAGTTTTGAAATCATGAAGGGATGTTAGGGAGTGGCTGAGTCTTGGGAACTAGTATAAGGTTGGGGAGGACAATAATGGGGTACAGCCTCAGTTTCTGTAGAAGCCAAAAGCATGAAGTGTCCGTGGTAAAAAGTTAGTGACTGACACCACATGAGATAGTGTTCCTGGCAAGATCCCAACACAGCCTATTGGTGAGGTGCAGTCCATTTGCAAGAGAAATTCTAACATTTTGAAGTTACCTGTATGATGGGATCTGCGCAGTCCTGGAGTGTAGATAACCTGAATGAGCATAACAAAACGTGTGTCCTGCTAACAGCAGATCTGGGGAAATGGTGAGGTTTGTAACACAGAAGATAGTGAGTAGCCAATATCTGATGATGAACTTTTAAACTTTAAACTTCTGGGACTTTTTGTTTTGTTTGTTTTAGATCTGAATGTGACTGTTGTTTACATTTTCCTTTATAGGGAATCTTTAACTCATTTTGATTTTTAAAAATGTTTATTTATTTCTCAATCATTTTACTCATTTACATTTCAAATGATATTCCTTCCTGGTTACCCCTCCACAGCAACCCCTATCCTATCCCCTTTTACCCCTTCCCTTTGCCTCTATGAGGGTTCTTAGCTACCATTTTATCTACCCCTTCCTCACTGCTCAAGCATCACCATATGTTGGGGCATTGGGCCTCCAGAGGACAAAGGGCCTCGCCTCCCATTGATGTCAGATAAGGCCATCCTCTACTACACATGTGTCTAGAGTCATGGCTTCCTCTATGTATATTCTTTGGTAGGTGGTTTAGTCCCTAGAATCTCAGAGAGGTCCAGTTAGTTGATATTGTTCTTCCTATGGGGATGCAAGCCCCTTTGGACCCTTCAGTTCTTCCACAGTAGAACATAAGAACGGAAAGACTTTTAAACACCTTTGGAAAATTTGAGACAATATTTTAGAGAGGCTCAACTTTATAATTGACTCATGTATTTTAAAACAACAGTTTCTTACATGTTTTAATTTGTAGACTTAGGGAAAGGCACACGAGATTCTGTCCTAGAGAAAGAATTATAGGAAACTCATGTGTTGCCAGTATAGTTTATCTCAAGAAAGGCCAATGGTAGATTTTGGTGTGGCTATAGTACAGCCTGGGATACAGGGGAAATCCCAGCATATCTGAGAAACAAATCATCAGGAGATGATCACAAGGAATGGTAGAAACAAGGGAGTTACTGGTAAAAAAAAAATGTCTTCACTTAAATCAGTATGGTATTCCATCTAATATGTATGCAACTTTTTATTACTAGGTATTCCAGCATTTAACATTTCAGACTATAGTTGATTAAGGTGAATTGAATTGAAGACTTGGAAAGTCGAAAAGGAAAGTAGCCAAAAAGGAAGGAACTTTATACTATATTTATATTTCACTTACTTTATTTACTAGGAAAATGAATTTCTCTTGTCAGACAGGAGTCAAAATGTGTGACTTGGTCAAGTCAAAGGTCCAGCATGGAATAATCCTTGAGACAAATAACAAGGCCTAAATTATTGAACTTTAGAGGCCCCTTTACAATAACCTATTTTTTTTTCTGAAAAACCAAATGAAAGTTCTAGAACTATGTTCAATTATGTGGTAAAGTAAATAAACTTAAGTCTAATCAAAGACTCCTTGGATATTACTGACATGTATGTATCACTTACTGAACTTATTCTGAAAGCTTGCTGTACTGGTTATTGATATACTTCATAAGTGTGGCAGGAGGGTCCTAACATGTCAACTTGCCTACTGTTTTATGTACAAGAGAAACTCAACTTAAAGCTAGAGGCTTCTAAGTCATATCCTGGTAGAATCAGTTGAATTCAGAGATATCCCTGTAAGATTCATTAGGCAACAGGCACTCAACTCATCAACCCTGAGAGGAAGCCAACGGCTATGACAAACATTGGTATTTTGGGGAAAGTAATTTGAAATATTTTAACATTTGGAGGGATTAATCTCAAAGAGATTGAAAGAAATCATGGCTAGCAGTAGAAATCTAGTCAGATTTAGGAAGCTCATGAAGTCATGGACATGAAAATGTATCAGACTAGTTTACTAGATTAGCTCAATTCCTTAAGGCAGCATTCTAAATTTCATTCTTATACCCACATAGAAGTGAAGCCATCAACTCTCATCAAAGAAGCCTCTTGGTACAGTAAATTGAGACCATCAAGGAAAACCAAAACTGGACACAATGAAGAGATCAATGGATTGGGGGAAAACCCAGCACAAAAGAATACATGTATATCAGTGTGTATAGCTCAGGGAATATTGCATAAATTGGGGTTACAAAGACTAAGAGGCAGCACACCTGAAAGGGTGTTTTGAAATCTCAGAAAATGGATGTAAAACTACAATGATGGCAATATCAATGCAGTGTTAATGCAATGGTCATAATTCATGTTTCAAAATATTACAAGCAACTAAAGATGGCAGCAGAATATTAGCCTTTTATACAAGTGAGAGTCAAATGGACTGTCCAATACAGACTACTCACCTTGGAAACCATATACACAAACACAAAGTGGACTCAAGTTGTGTTTCTATTTTTATAGATACAATCATAAACAAATAAACACACATATATAACAATATTGAAACAATGAGTTTGCGAGTGGGTTGCATGCAATGGACTAAAGGGAGGAATGGGAGGTCACAGTGCTATAATTCAATTTTCAATAAAAATTTAAAATAATTATAGTGATAAAGGAAACATTCTGAATGTGTGCTAGGGGAGTGTAGAAGGGTCCTAAAAATAATTAATGTGGTATTTATGAATGTCTTTACTAGGGAATTTTCTATGATTTTCATATCTCAAATTTGAATCACAGACTCTTTCTCAGAACAAGAATCATGAGTAAAGAATGCCTGGCATTGAGATAAAGGTCTCAGTTTATGAAGAGAGACACTACATCAAATATACTGTACCTATGTGGGTTTCTGAATATATGTGATGCATATGCAAATGTGTATGATCTCTCTCTCTCTCTCTCTCTCTCTCTCTCTCTCTCTCTCTCTCTCTGTGTGTGTGTGTGTGTGTGTGTGTGTGTGTGTGTGTGTGTGTGTGTGTGCATCTAAGATCACTGGCAATATATTTAGAGCTTTGAGCTTATTTATGTTAGAAGACAGAGTGAAATACTGGTCTTTTTCCCATCTCTTTTTGACACAGGATCTCTTTTGGTCACTACAGAACAACATTCATTACAATCTGCAAATTCCATTTCCAGGTAGAAACTTTTTAGTTTACAGATGACTGTGGTACAATACCTAGTTTTGTTTGTTTTTTAATGTAAGTTCTGATGACCCAAATTCATGTCACAAAGCCTGTATGTCAGTTGGTTTAGACACTGACCTATCCTTTCAGACCATTTCCTATATTCTTAAAATTGTGATTCACCTCTAAATTTATCATGTGTGAGGATAAATGTTGATCGTCAATGGAATTTTATTTAGAACTATTATGACAAAGGATTCTGGGCACAACTCTGAGGGAATATTTAATGTCATTAGTTTCTCTCTATGCTTAAGTAACTGATGTGAACAAAATAACAGGGTAACTGTGCTGTAGTATTCCTTAAGCACGGCTCCTGGAATGTATTAAAGAAGCTCACTGAATATGAACATCATCGATCTCTGCTTCTCAGCTAGGTGAACGACTTCAATAGCTCCAACCTCCTGACATCAGAACAGCTGTATGATGATACCCTGAGCCTTCAAATGATGAGCTATTTTCCTAATGAAAATAATTATCTAGAGTACCTATTCACATAAATAGGAACATAAGTTCTTTTTTAAAAAAAGTTGCTATAATACATAGGAGGGAGTCTGATTTTATTGTACTACTACATAATTGATTCTTAGCAATGGGGACTGTTTTATGGTGAGAATCTAGAAGAATTTGGTCAGATAAACCCCCAATATTCATTTCTTGAGTAGTACTTAGAATGCCATTTTGATTGTAGTGTGGAAAAGAAATAATAATAGATTCTAGTGGATCTGTCACATGAATACAGGTGCCTGAGCAACAGAGGTACAGGAGAATACTGAAAATGCCATTTTTCAAAGACTATGGAGAATCATGAATCAGGTACATTGGAGTCAAAGCAATAATACACTTTATTAAAATTTATTATAATAGATAAATATATATGATACACAACATAAAAGTAAGTATAATGAGTGAAACTATTTGTAACAAATAGTTCCTCTGTGGAACATTATATGTTGAAGTTTTTCCATTGTCACATCCTAAATGAAACATAAAATGTCTTCATTAGACAAATATTCTCAGATGATAGATTCACCCCCACTTCAGATAAAACTACCTTTTCAGTGCATTTTCTGAACTCTACACAAAAAATTACCCGAGTTAACAGTATATCTTATTTTGAATGGTATTACCTGTTAAATCAGGTATGTTTTATTTAGCATCTTTATTATTCTTCACATATATGTTGTAATGGATCCTGTGCAGCTTAAAATTTATAGCAAATGCTAAGTATTTGGCAAGATTATCTCTCAAAGTAAATTAAACAAACATTAGTGTTTTTACACAAGAATAACAAAGTTTGTGAGCACATGGTTCAGTCTTGTAGTATATTTAATGGATTTTAAAATCAAATAATTGTTCAAGTGAGTTTTTAAAAAACAATTTCATATCCAAGATATCTCACATGACTTATGGACCATGGAATGAAAAGTGAGA